GCTCGCCTGGCTGTGGACAGTGCATGCTCTCTCTCCTCTGGGCCTATACGGGTACCTGTCTTGCTGGACAACAGCCAGTATTTGATAGGCACCCTGCTGATAAGACTATAAGCAAACAGAACATAAGTCTCTGTGTGTGTGTGTGTGTGTGTGTGTTTCAAGACAGGGTTTCTCTGTAGTTTTGGAGCCTGTCCTGGAACTCCTTAGTAGACCAGGCTACCAGGTTGGCCTCTAACTCACAGAGATCCGCCTGCCTCTGCCTCCCCAGTGTTGGGATTAAAGGCTTGCGCCACCACGACTCTCAGAAACCTCTGGGAAATTCATGCACAGACACACTTGCATTTGTGTGGTGTGGTGTTACATGGGGTTATGTAACACGATGGTTTAAGCAAAACTATGAGTGACTCTAATTGAAGCCCTCCGTGGGGAAGCACTCTAGAGCCATGAGCAATGACTAGCAGATGGAGCAATGCTGTGTGGGGTACTCCCTTCAGATGTGCTTTTCTGAAGCCCTGGGCACTCACACCATCCAAGGTGTCCCTGGCCATTTTTACTGAAAATTTTTTTTAAGATTTACTTTTTAATTTTGTATATATGTGTGCATGATTGTGTATCTGCATGTTTCTGTGTCTGTGTACGTACCTGTCAGTGAATTGTATCTGTAGGGAGAAATCACTTATGTGAGAAGCCGAGAACTGAGGTCAGAGCCCTGCTGGTCTCCGACCTCGACCGGAACCCAAGAGAGCCCTCTCCTCGCCCACCTAGCTCCTTATCTCCCTGCCTTCTCCCAAGTACCTGTGGCCACTCCCAAACAGGTGTGGTTAGGACTACAGGTATGTGATCTCTCCCTACATGTATCTGTGTATGTCTATGTGTTGTCTGTATGTCTCTGCATATGCATGCCTCTGTCAGGACTGTGTGTGTGTGTGTGTGTGTGTGTGTGTGTGTGTGTGTGTGTGTGTGTGTATGTGTGTGTGTGTGTGAGATACCCGTATGTGCTGTATGTCTGTATATGTGTATCTGTGTGTGTCTCTGCGTCTGTGTTTGTGTGTGTCTGACTACATGTCTCTGTGTGCACTGCAGCTGTCAGAAGCCAGTCTTGGTGTGGTTGTCCCTTTCCCTGGTGCTTGTACTCAGGTGAGCTGGTCCTCAAGATCCCAGAGCTATCTCTACTCCCCGTCTTGCTGTGAGATCACGGGGTCTCAGGTGTACCAGCTTTTACACAGGTCCTGAAGACCTGAATTCAGGCCCTCATACTTTCAGGACAAGCACTTTATCCACTGACCCCCAGCCCTCCATCTTTTTTTAAAGACAGGTACTTTAACTAAACCTGTAGTTCCTGAGTTGGCTAGACAGGCTGTCTTGTGAGTCCCAGGGGTTCTCATGTCCCTGCTTCCCCGGGCTTGGGTCACAGGTGAGCACCAGGTTTTGTTGTTGTTGTTTGTTTTTTGTTTTTGTTTTTTGTTTTTGTTTTTTACGAGACAGGGGTTTCTCTGTATTGTTTTGGAGGCTGTCGGTCCAGCCTGGCCTCGAACTCACAGAGATTCGCCTATCTCTGCCTCCCGAGTGCTGGGATTAAAGGTGTTAAAGGTGTGCGCCACCACCGTCTGGCTCGAGCACCAGGGTTTTTATGAGTATGTGGGACAAGATTCAGGGCTTCGAGCTTGCAAGGGCTTTACCAACAGAGCCATCTCCAAAAGCCCTAGTCATTTTGTATTTTGTTTAGGAGTTTTGAGACATGGTCTCACGCAGCCCAAGCTAGCCTCAAACCCACTGTGCAGCTGAGGATGACCTTGGACCCCTGATCCTCTTATTCCCACATCTCAAGAGCTGAGGTTGCAGGTATTGGAGTTCAACTTCCCTCTCTGTCTGTTATGAGTCTTTCACTGGGCCAGGGACCCATCCGGACGATGTAGTGGGACCACATCTCTGAAGCTCCTATTCCCAAATAAGATCCTACCTGGTCCCAGGCACCAGACTGAAAGTGTCTCTTCTTGGATGCTTGGCCTGGAGCTGAACTTCATATCACACCCCGCCCCAGTCCTCAGTGGCCTATAAAGCAAATACACTCATTGCCTTCGTCTTAACAGAGAACCCAGAGAGGTGAGTCTTCCTCCAAGCACACAGCAACCAGGATTGTATCTCAGCTGGGTGGGCTCAGATTTCAGATTCTGTGTAAGGCACAAAAGAGACTCCTGGCTGGGCCAGGCTGGCAGACAGACAGTCAGCCCCCAAGGGACCTGCTCCTGTCTGTCAGCAGGCTCCTGGCCAGACGTCAGGATGCGGGAGAGAAAAGGGCAGGAGGCTACACCCTGTGAGCTGCAGTGGCAAAGGGGCAGCTGGGACTGGGGAGCAAATTATTCATCAGCCCTTTCCAGGTAGCACAGTGAGGCATGACTCCCAAGGCACCCGTCAGAGCAACACGGGCCACGAGACTTTGATGGAAAAAGGACAAAGGTGCCCAGTGCTGACCGCGGAGTGAGGCAACAGAAGAGTTCAATGCACGCATCCAAGCCTCCCTGCTGTGTAGATGAGAAACAAGGCCACAGCCAAGTGACCCTTACATTCACACAGCAAGAAAGCAGGCAAAGGTGGGGTGCAAATGCAGCCCTGCCCATCACTGAGTCCTGGCTACCATGGTTTTCATTTTGATGTAGAGTCTCACTCTGTAGTCCAGGCTGCTTGGGAACATACTATGGAACCCAGGCTGATTGGAACTTGTGGCAGTCCTCCTGCCTCAGCTTCCTGAGTGCTGGAATTAGGAGGTGACCACTGCTCATGTTTTTTGTTTGTTTAGTTTTAATTTTAGTATTTCATTTTGTTCATGGGTGTGTGTGTACATGTGGTGCGTGTACATATGCATGTACATGCAGAAGCCAAAGACAGTATCGATAGCGTCTTCCTCCACTTACTCTTTGAGAATGCCATCTCTCACTGAACCTGGGTCTCATCCATTCAGCTGGCTTGTGAGCTCCAGCGTTCGGCCTGTTTGTCCTTCACTCCTCCCTGCTCCACACTACTATTGCTGGGGGGCAGACGATGTTATGAAACCTGGCTTTTTTTTTCAAGACAATGTTTATCTGTGTAACAGACCTGGCTGTCCTGGAACTCACTCTGTAGACCAGGCTGACCTCAAACTCACTGAGATCTCCCTTCCTCTGCCTCCTAAGTGTTGGAACCAAAGGTGTGAACCACCACTGCTAAGCCTAAACTTTGCTTTTAAAAGGCTTCCAGAATGGAACTCAGGTCCTCATGCTTGCACAGCAAGCAACTTATCAGCTGAATCATCTCCCTGGCCCCTTGTTCTTAGTTTCTAGATTAAGGCAAAAATGACATAACTTTCTCTGTAGTTCTAGAATCCAGCCAGCTGGTCAGGATCATCACTGAGCCACACCCTCAGCCCAAGCTGACCACTGTAAAGAATTCTATTTGGGTTGGGCATTGGTGACGCACGCCTTTAATCCCAGCACTTGGGAGGCAGAGGCAGGCAGATCTCTGTGAGTTCAAGACCAGCCTGGTCTACAAAAGCTAGTTCCAGGACAGCCTCCAAAGCCACAGGAAACCCTGTCTCAAAAAACAAAACAAAACAAAACAACAACAACAAAAAAAGAATTCTGTTGGTGGGGGGGGGGGGAGACTGGGCATGGCTCCCAATAGAGCATCTGCCTGGCATGTATGAAGCCTGGGTTGGATCCTCACTACCACTGAAGCCAGATCTGGTAGGGCCAGGGAGTAAGCTTAGAAGGTAGAGATGTTTGCTGCCAAGCCTGAAACCAAGATTGATTCACTGGATAGGAGAGAATTCATTCCTGAGAGCTGTTCTCTGATCCTGAATGTCCACAAACACATAATAAATCAATATGATTATGATGATGATGATGAGAAAGTTCTCCCTGTCTCTGTCTCCTGGGTTCTGGGGATTAGGTAATTTCAAAAGCTAGTGTGACACCTCACACCTGTCACTCAGCACTCAGGAGGTAAGGCAGATGGAGAGAGAGTCTGAGGCCAGTCTGGGCTATGCAGTCCAGCTCAGTACTGGGATAGGATCCTATCTTTATTTTTTTTTTCAGCAACGATGATTGAACCAAGAACAAGTGCTTCATCCATTTAAAAAATCTTTTTTATTTATTTATTTATTTATTACTTGAGTATGTGTGTGTGCCTGAATGAGTTTATGTGTAGCATGTGTTTGCAAGCACCTGTGGAGGCTAGAAGAGGGCATCAGATGCCCTGGAACTGGAGCGCAGGTGATTCTGAACCCCCAGTGTGGGTGCTGGGTACCAAACACCCGTTCTCTGGAAGAACAGCAGGCACCACCCCTCAGCCCGTCTCACACTTCCACACTCCCACAATCCCCTCCTCGGCCTCATGAGTCCAGGGAGCACAGTTGACCCCCAGGACCCAGGGGAAAGGTCAAGGGTCACAACCATCCCTCAGGACAACGAGTGAGCTCTCTTTAAGGTGTGCTTTTTATTGTTGTCTATGTCTGCATATGTGCATGTATGTAGAGCACGTGCATGCAGGTTCCACAGGACGCCAGACAGGGGTGTCAAATCCCCAGGCAACTGTGTGCTTCCTGCTCTGGGAAACCAAACTCAGGCCACCTGGAAGAGCAGGAGCGCCTCTTACCTACTGTGCCATCTCTTCAGGTCCAGTGGGGCTCTTGATGCTGGAGTTTGAGGCTGGCCAGGCCAGGGGAGAGAGAGAGAGAGAGAGAGAGAAGTAAAGGCAAAGGCAGTGACTTATTATCCCAGCACTTAGTAACAGATGAAGCAGGAGAACTTCTCCGGTGTGGAGGTTGACAGAGAACTGAGCCATGTCATCCTGTCGAAACGAAAGGTTATCTCTTGGCAAGGAGATGGTAAAGGTCAGGTTGCTGACTGTCTTCCCTCTGCTAGGAAGATAACTCAGGTCAGCAGGCGGGGCAAGGGCCAGTGTGTATAAAGGGGGCAGAGGTGGTGCAGGGAGAGCCACCTCGGTCGAAGGCATCTCAGCTGAGCATGGCAACCCGCGGGCTGCTGCTGGCTTCCTGGGCTCTCGTTGCGGCTTTGCAGTTGCAGACTGATGCGAGGCCCGCGCCCTACGGGGTGAAGTTGTGCGGCCGCGAATTCATCCGTGCGGTCATCTTCACCTGTGGGGGCTCACGATGGCGCCGGGCAGACATCTTGGCCCAGGACACTCTGGGTGAGTGAGTGTGTGTGTGTGTATGTGTATGTGTGTGTGTGTATGTGTGTGTGTGTATGTGTATGTGTATGTGTGTGTGTATGTGTATGTGTGTGTGTGTATGTGTGTGTGTGTGTGTATGTGTATGTGTGTGTGTGTGTGTATGTGTGTGTGTGTGTATGTGTATGTGTGTGTGTGTGTATGTGTATGTGTGTGTGGGGGGGATAATCAATCTGGAACTGGTAGCCAGGTGGGCACATAGCCAAAACAGAGGAGGAGTTGTATGAGCCAGGAGTGGTGCACACTGAACTTCTAAACACTTGAGAGGTGGTGGTGGCAGAAGTTTCCCACATTTAAGGGAGGCCTGGGATACAGATTAAGACCCAGTCTTAAAAAAACACCTGCCTGGCCCTTGAATTTCTCCGGGTAGAGTGGTACAATTGCAGAGCTGAGAAGCCAGCCACCCTGGGCTTGCCAGCGGGGGTGAGGGTTGGAGCCATCAGGCCACCCTTTGCTGAGTCTTGGCATGGAGCAGAAGTGTCTGATCTCTATGGATGAGGGCAGCAGGTGTTTGAGAGAGGGAGGGGGATGGTGGGCACAGGACTGGATGTTGCCACTTCCTGGCCTCTCTGGCCCCTGCTGTCCCTTGTAGAGACAATTTCTGGTGAAATGGAACACACAGAGGCAGAATTCTTTACAGGGTAAACAATTTAGTGTGGTTGGAATAGGAGAGGCCAGGAGAGTGCCGCTCCTTAGAGACAAGAGAAATGATGAAGGCTCATACTGGGCTTGATGGCACATGGCTAGAATCCCAACACTCTGGGAAGCTGAGGCAGGACAGCCATGTGTTCCAGGGCTTTCTGAGACCCTGTTCTCAATAAACAAAAGTGGGGAAGATGGTGATGAATGGATCGATGTGTGAGTGGGTGATGGTCTATAGATAGATGACGTATGTGTGTGCAGGTAGGAGTGCACCTTGATTAACATAGTGGTTCCATGGCCAGCTGGCTGTGTCCTCACTGAGGAGATGCGCTCTCCTTTGGGTAGTGAGCAATAGCAGCAGCTTGGGACTGTCCCTGAGAGAAGTTAGCGCGGTAAACGATCAAGACAGGCAGAAAGTGATCAGTGTTCTCTTGAGGGTTGCTGTGCATCCAATTCTATTGTGCTTCTACTGGTGTTACCTCTCCCACTCGTGATAAAACCAGACAGAGTAGGGGCTGTTATTTCCCCTCCCCCACTTCTCAGAAAAGAAAACCAAGCCTCAGAGCAATCTCATTTACGACTCTAGTTTAGGGAACTTAGCTTCCAGATGCATAACTTTCATCTACTGGTTCACATTAACTAAAGAAAAGCATAAAATCTGTGACAGGAAACTCGGGCTCAGTATTGAAACTGGTGACAAATTGCAAGCAATGAAATTTTGAACAGCAACCTTGATCCTCGAGACCAGCAATGCAACCTGGTCAGACAGGAGCCAGCACTCTATGGTGGCAGGTCTGAGCCCTAACGCTTCCTTTGCTTTGCAGGGGACTTCTTCCCTGATGCAGAAGCCAATACCGACAACCTAGCGAGCGAACTGGACGAAGCCGTGGCCTCCAGCGAGTGGCTGGCCCTGACCAAATCCCCCCAGGCCTTCTATAGCGGCAGGCCCAGCTGGCAAGGGTCGTCTGGAGCGGTTCGGGGCAGCAGAGACGTCCTGTCTGGCCTTTCCAGCAGCTGCTGCGAGTGGGGCTGTAGCAAGAGCCAAATTAGTAGCTTGTGCTAGGACCCCGGTGGGGCGATGAGGAAGCGGCCGGGTGCCTACAATCCACTGTGCACGCTCACAAGCATTCCTCCAGGCAAGGCATTGAAGACTCCGCGGTCTCCTCACAGACCCTCTGCTCCGAGCCACACCCCTACCCAGCCGAACAGAAACTTGATCTTCAAGGCCGAGTTCTTCCCCTCCCCAACCCCAGTCCCAGGGAGCCCGACTGCAGCCAGGTGCCCACCTACCCAAACTGACCACACTGAACAATGTCTGATCCTAATTGCCCCCTTTGTTCCCCAGCCAGTGCAACCTGCCCCCTACTCCTTCAGTCCCCACCCCAAAGCACTCTGCTGCTGACACCAGGACTGGGGACACGGGGTCCCCAATACTCAGACTTTCCCACCACAAAATAAAGGTTCAGTTCTGAGCATTTGCACGCGTGCGTGTCATTGCTGGGGGTGGGCGGACTTGGGGACTTCCCGCCAGGGGCGGGGTATCTTCCTTCACAGGCAGCAAGTCCCAGACCTGGCGGTATCTGTTGTCCCTGGGAGCCATGATCCGGGCCCGGGTTGCGCGCCTCACGCCGTTGGAGCTGCTGCTGCTGCCACTGCTGCTCGGGACGCGGCCCCACGGTGAGAGGCTTCCTGAGTGGCCAGCTTGGGATCACAGCTGTAGGGCGGTGGGGACCCGGCGACAACAGGATGTAGCAGGATGGGGAGGGGCTCGGTACTCCCTCGGCGCCATCTCAGCACGTGTCAGGCCCTGGGCTCCAGTTTGGCAGCCCGCAGGAGAATGGACACATCCACAGTCTGGCATGTTTAGGCCCCGAAACTTGATCGTGGCCCTACTGGCCCTCTGCGCCCCCCGCAGGCAGCCCTGGCCCTCTGCAGTGCTACAGTGTGGGGCCCTCGGGAATCCTGAACTGCTCCTGGGAAGTTCTGAGCCACCCGGAGACTCCACTTGTGCTGTATCACCAGAGTCAGAAGTAGTGAGTACCCTGGAGTGGTCTGGGGAAACTGAGGCACAGCAAGTGGACACTCAGGCTTGAACTGGCTTTGGTTAAGAGGACCTAGAGTTCAGCTGCTGGAAATTCCTTCCACACTTTCAAGGCCCTCAAGCCAGGTCCCACTCATTTCCTAACTGAGCCTCCCATGACAGTAATGACAGCACGTGCTCCCATGATTGACATGAAGACAAACGTGTGGAGTACTAGGAAGCAGGTTTATATTGCTGCTGGACGACGTCAGGCAGACAGCTTGACTTTTGAAAAGCAGTCTAGTTCAGTCTGAGAACACGGCAGTCTAAGCTGGCATGGTGACACACTTGTAACCCCAGCCCCTGGGAGGTGGAGCAGGAAGATCAGGAGTTCATCCTCAGCTACAATACCAGTGGCCAGCCTGGGCTACATGAAATCCTGTCTCAAAATCAGTCTAGTGCTTGGAATCACGACAGTGAAAGCTGGACCTGGGGGGGGCCGGGTTATGTCGGGAGGAGGCGTGGAGAAGGGCATGCTTTCTGAGACAGGGTCCTACTGTGTGAAGCTGGCCTCTAAGGATCCTGCTGCTCCCATCTCTCGTGTGCTGAGGTGACAGGCACGACAGTCACCTGACCCACTGTTGAGCTCTTTCAATTGCATGGATATTGCACGCATGTTATAGAGGGGGGACAGTGAGGTAAGGTCACTTGCCTCAGGCTGTACCTCTTTGAAACAGAGCAGGTTGAGGGCATGGTCAATGCAGGGTGCTTAGCCTGTGCCAACATGTGTCTCTCCCCTGCCTTTCTCCTCACAGCCATTCCAATAGAACCCAGGAGGTGAAGGTGCCTTCCAGGCAGAACTGGGCGACCATCCCTCGGGAACAGTTCACCATGGGTGACACACTCCTCATTTGGGGAACACAGGAGGGCCAACCTCTCTGGTCCCCTGTCTTTGTGAATCTGGAAACCCAAAGTAACTCAGTGGGAGGGTGAGGCATAGTGGGGTGGGGTCGGGGAGGGTGGCTAGAGGCCCTAGCTCAGTGCCTCCTATTTGCAGTAAAGCCAGATACCCCCCCAGCTCCTCCCTAATGTGGACTTTTATGAGGACGAATCCCTGGAGGCCACTGTGCCATGGGATGCACCCCTGTGGCCATCTCATAAGGTTCTTATCTGTCAATTCCGGTACAAAGGATGCCAGGAGAAGCAGTGGACCCAGGTGAGTGGGGGGGAGCTTCATGCCCACCTTATCTCTGGTAGATGGGCTAGCACCCCAAGTCCTATAGAGCCCAGGCTCATTTGGCACCTGCACAGTCACCCCCAAGCTCACACAGAAGGCCTCACAAGCAACTCTGTGCACTTGCTTCTTGTTTTTGGAGATAGAGTCTGTCTATGTAGCCATGCAGCCAGGCAAGCTGGCCTCAAAGCCACGCTCCTCCAGCCTCAGCCTCCTGAGCTCTGGGGCAGCAGGGTTTCATTGCCACCTCTAGATACTGCCTGGGTATCTTTTTGTGTGTAGGAGGCAGTGAGACAAGGTTTCACTGAGTGATCCTGGCTAGCCTGAAACCCACGGAGATCCACCTGCCTCTGCCCCCCCCATCCCATGTTGGGATTAAAGCTATGCCTGCCTGAGTATCTTCTTTTTGTTTGTTTGTTTGTTTGTTTGTTTGTTTTTCGAGACAGGGTTTCTCTGTAGGTTTGGAGACTGTCCTGGAAACTCTCTTTGAAGATCAGGCTGATCTCAAACTCACAGAGATTCACCTGCCTCTGCCTCCTCTGGAGTGCTGGTCTAGATACTCAGTTAAAAACTTTGTCTCAGGCTAGAGAGATGGCTCAGAGGTTAAGAGCACTGGCTACTCTTCCAGAGGTCCTGAGTTCAATACCCAGCACCCACATGGTGACTCACAACCATCTGTAATGAGATCTGGCGCCCTCTTCTGGCAAGTAGGGGTGCATGCAGAGCACCCACACATAAAACATAAGTAAATAAAATTTAAGATAAAAAATTTTGTGTCAAAACAAAGAAATGAACAAAAACCCCAAACAAACCACAGACTATATATAGGAAGATCACCCAGCATCAAAGTGCTTGACACGAAGACGTGAGGTCCTGACGTCCCAGCACCTGTATAAAAAGACAGGCACAATGTAGCCTCCCTCAGCAGAGGAAGACACAGGTGTATCCCAGGGTTTACTGAGCATCCAGCCTAGCAAATGAGTCAGCGAGAGACCTTGTCTCAGAATGAAGTGGAGGCAGGGAGAGGACTCAGTGGGTAAAGGCGGTCGCCATGCAAGCTTTACCACCTGAATTCGATTTCTGGGACCCACACAAGGGGCAGGAGAGAAGTTACTCCGTAGTAGTCCTCTAACACCCCCATAGTATACCTGTATACCCATAATATACTCGAATACACAATAAGAAATAGAGCTTAAAATAGTAAGATGTTGATCTACAGAGGAAGCCACTTGACATTAACACCTGTTCTCTCTCTCTCTCTCTCTCTCTCTCTCTCTCTCTCTCTCTCTCTCTCTCTCTCTCTCTCTGTCTGTCTGTCTCTGAGGGCTTGCTTTAACTACTCTGTGCTAGAGGGCTTGCCCAGCCTGTGCCAGACCCAGGACCACACACCGCGTTGGGAAAAGAAGAGAGTCTCCTCCGTAGAGAGGGATACCCCATCACTTTCCCCTTCCTTTACGCAGCTGGAGTCACAACTGAAGACGGACATGATGACTCCTGTTGTGATGCAGAACCTGGAACCTGGCACCGGCTACCAGGTGTCTGGCCGCTGCCGTGTGGACAGCGGATATCCATGGGGCGAGTGGAGCCGGGACCTGTCCTTCCACACGCCATTCCTGGGTGAGGATGTCTCCATTTGTCTTGTACTTCTGGGCCCACTATAGGCCAGGCAGCCTTGTCCATCTAACTGTACCTGCCTTTCCCCCATCCTCCTCAGCTCCTGAAGATGTGTGGGTATCGGGCACCGTTTGTGAGACCTCTGGCAAACCGGCAGCCCTGCTTCTCTGGAAGGTAAGCACAAAGGGGTCTGGGAACGCCCAAGCAGCAGTGGCTTCCTCTGCTGCCCCCTGGAGGTTATTTCCTGGATTGCAGGGGTCTCTGGCTGTGCTGGGTGCCAGGAAGTCACCACCAACAACAACCTGTGAGAGATCTGGTTGGGTGGGACCTAGTGTCCCAGGCAGCAGACAGCAGATATGAAAGTCTAGACTTAGGACATGATCTCAGTGAAGCTTGGCAGGGTGTAACACTTGTGCTGGAGAGTCCCGTGCGGCCATCACACAGGTGGTAGAAGAGGGTGTCATATCCTCCCGATTCAAGGTGGCCCACGCTTGTGATCCCAAATGCTCAAAAAGCCAAGGAAGGATGACTGCATGTTCAAGACCAGCCAGAGTGAGTTCAAGGTCAGGGCATCTTAGTCTAAAAAACAAAAAGATTTGGAAGAGGGTGCTTAGGGCTAGAGACACCGCTCAGCACTTAAAAGCGCTGGCTCTCTTTCAGAGGACCCGGGTTCAATTCCTAGCACCCACATGGCAGCTCACCACTCTCTGTGGAACTGGTGATCTCAGTTCTAGGAGATCTCACACCTTCACACAGACAAACATTCAGGCACAACACCAATGCACGTAAAAGTGAGAGGCTCAGTGACAGAATACTTGGTAAGAGTGTATGAGGTCCCAGACTCCATGCTCAGCAGTGAAAGAATATACTGTTGAACATCTAACGTCTGCTGGCCATGGCTGAACTCTGCAAGTAATAAAACATATACGACTCTTGAGCCAAAGCTATGCGTTTAGTTCCACATGTATTTATGATGCATACATGCAGGTATCTGAAGTTGCATGCAACTGAATGCTTGTGTGTGCGTATGCATGAGTACATGCAGGTTTGTGAGTGTATGCATGCATGTAAAAGCATATATGTGTGGATGCGTGTGTGTGTGTGTGTGTGTGTGTGTGTGTGTACACTTATACTCTCTAACTCACAGAGATCCACCTGCCTCTGTCTCCTTAAGTGGTAGCGTTGACGACGTTAGATACTGTTCTGTTTTCTGGAATCGCTTAAACGGTCACACATTCCCATCCTTGTAAGTTTCCACTGGGGATGAAGTCACAAACCCATAAGGGAGAGAGCCGGAGGTGTGCAACAGAGCAGGAGCCTTTAATGAATATTTCAGAGCTCTTAGGCCTGCTGGGAGCCAGTCCAGGAGTGCAGCTTCCCTAGAACGTCTGAGGTCGTGAGTTGTGTCTGCAGCACTGCCTGAGCCAGATGTGAAAGTGCAGCTGTATACCAGCAACGGGGAGGCAGAAGCAGGAGGACCAATAGTTCAAGGTCATCCTTGACTACATATTGGGTTTGAGGCTGGCCTTCTATTTGTGAGGTCCTGTTTCAAAGAAAAAAGAGACACAAGGGGTGAAGTGCCCAGCAAGCCAGAAGAGCTCAATCTCAGGAACCACGTAGAAAGCTGGGTGTGGAGCTGGGAAGATGGCTCAGCCCTGGCTACTCTTGAACAGGACCCAGCTTCAGTTCCCAGAACCCACATCTTAGCTCACAAGGGGAGCTCCAGTTCCCAGGGACCCATGCTGTCTTCTGGTCTCTGCTTACACAAAGCAGGCACAACACTCCTACACACAAAATCATATAATCAAGCCCCCCACCCCGAGATACGGTTTCTCTGTGTAACAGCCCTAGCTGTGCTGGCACTCACTCTGTAGACCAGATAGGCCTAGAACTCACAGAGATCCTCCTGCCTCTGCCTCCCGGGTCCTGGGATTAAAGGTGTGCACCACCACTGCCCGGCTCATAGTCAAACTTTTTTGTTAGTTTGTTTTGAGACAGGGTTTCTCTGTGCTGGCCTTGAACTCACAGTGATCTGCCTGTCTTTGTGTACTGGGATCAAAGACATGCGCCACCATGCCCCGCTAATAAATCTTAAACAAACAAGCAAAACCACAATAAGCTCGGTGTTGTGGCATGTATCCCAGAACTCCTCGAGTGATAGGGATGGAGACAGCAGAGTCTCCCAGCTCTTGGGTCAGCACATTGGCAAAAACAGTGAGAGAGAAGCCACTTAAACAAGATGAAAAGAGAAAGTCAACCCCTGAGAAACTGCCCTCTGACCCGGCACGTGTGGGTCAGAGGCAATGCACACGCACGCACACATTCACACGAAATACAAAGAAAAGGATTTCATATTTAGGATAAATATTTGTGGGGCTGGAGAGATAGCGCAGCGGCTAGGAGCGCTTACTGCTCTTGCAGGGAGTGTGGGCTTGAGTCTAAGCTCCCGCACCAGGCAGCTTTCAGCATCCATAACTCCAGCTCCAGGGAATCCTCTGGCTGCTTTGGTCCTGAAGTCATGTGCACATACCCCAACACACACACGAAATCTCGAAAAAGATAAACATTTGTATGTGTGCATGTGTTCGTACGTGTTTAAGTGTGTGTATATGAAGAGGCCAGAGCCCTCTTGTTTTTCTTCAGGTTCTTTTTGAGACATGGTTTTTCACTTTTCCTGTAGCTTACCAACCAGGGTAGGCTGTCTGGCCAGTGAGTCCCAGGGATCCACTTGTCTCTACCAACTGCTTTACCAACTAAACCTTTTCCCCAGCCCTGGATTTAAGTATTTAAAAAAAGAAATCGAGTGTGTTGTTGTTGCTGCTGTTGTTTTGTTTGTTTTTAAAGTCTGGTCTGATTGATACCTACACCAGGATTAGTGAGAGCAGAACCAGGCAGGGCCATAGGTGCAGGATCAAAGTTACCTTTATGTAAAGTTGGTACCCAGATTGCTACAGACTTGGTTTTGTTTCCTAAGACAGGGTCACATATAGCCCAGGCTGGCCTCAAACTTGTGGCAACGCCTCCTGCCTTTGCCTCCTGAGTACTGAGATTGTGAGCCACTCCAGGCTCCCCCTTAAACTTTATACCCTCAGAAGTGTCTCCTTTCCCTCCCCAGCCCTCCTTTGAGATTCAGTGTCTACATCCATAAGCTGGGCCCCACATGCTGCCACACTGCGTGACTTCACACGTCCATCATAAACAGTGGGTACTCAAAACGGGGGGACACTAACCACGTTTCCTCACTCAGGACCCGGGACCCTGTGTGCAGGTGACTTACAGAGTCTGGTTTGGGGTTGGAGATGTTGCTATGACTCAAGAAGAGGTCCCTTGCTGCAAGTCTTCCATCCCCACACTGATGGAGTGGGCTGTGGTATCCACTGTCAACACCACCAACAGGACACTTCTCACCAACCTGTCTTTGGTCTGCTTGGGTAAGACAACATGAATGTCCATCCTCTGCCCATTACCTTGGGGGACAAGCTAACCCTCTTGAATGAACAGTCAAGATGTCTCCTTCTGCTTCCAGCTCCAGAATTTGTCCCCCAAGACGTAGTCACCAGCATTGACGGGGGCCCAGGGCTACTGGTGACCTGGCAACAAGGGACCATGGAACCGTGGGAGTATGTGGTGGACTGGGCTCGAGATGGTGACAGCCTGGACAATATAAGCTGGATCCGTCTTCCCAGTGAAAACCTCAGCACTTCGTTACCAGGTTAGGCCCTCAGACACCTGGGATCCCGTCTACACCAGTACATGTGCTGTTACTATAACAAAATACCTGGGGCTGACCCTTATAAAGAGATTTGCTTAGCTCACAGTTTTGGGGGTGCTCAGAACATAGTGCTGCATCTACTGACTCTACAGGTCATGTTCTGGCGACGGTACCCTGGTGGGAATCTGTGCCAGAGGGAGGTTGCCTGGTAACCTAGGAAGCCAGATAAGGTTCAAATTGTGGGGGAAACTCCAGAGGCCATCAAAGGCTTTCAGACTGCGCCTTGGTATTTGGACATGGGCCTCGGGTATAAAGGAAGAAAACGAGGTGTTGGGAGGGAAACATAGGTCAGATGCTGAAGCTTATGTGTGCACCGATGAAAAGAGGAGTCCTAGCCTGTGGTGGTCTGCACCTGTACTCAGGAGGCTGAGGTAGGGGGATCACTATTTAGTAATTTTAGGACAGCCGGGGTGAGGGGAGGGAGAGGAGGAGAAAGGGAGAGTGAGGGAGGTGGGGAAGAGGAGTGAGGGAGGGGGAGGGAAGGCAGGAGGGGGACAGAGGGAGAGAAGCAAGAGAGACAAGCACTGGATAATGATTCTGGAACATTCCTTCTTTGGCCCACTTTGCAGACACACCACTCTCTTGAGAGGAGTGTCACTCATATGCAGGTCTGTGTCCATGCCTCTCAGTGGCCTGCACTTTTATTTCGTGACCTCGGGGCAAAATCAAACTGTGGTTGCTGACAGAGCAACACCCTGAGCACAAAGGCTGGAGAACGCCCTTTGGGCAGCCCTGGACCAGCAGCAAAGAGGGCTCAGCTGCAGAGCCTGGTTCCCTGCTTTCCCCACTTTGGGGACTTATTTTACATTATTTTTATTTACTTATTTTTTAGGTTTTTTGCGGGGGGGAGTTGGTTTTGTTGTTGTTGTTGTTTGTTTGAGAGGGGTTTCTCTGTGGAATATCCCTGGCTATCCTGGAACTCAGTCTATAGTCCAGGCTGGCCTCAAACGTACAGAGATCTGCCTGCCTCTGCCTCCTGAGTGTGCCACCATTGCTGTTCCAATACTTATTTTATTTTTGTTTTTTGAGATTATAATATGATTGCACTTGTCCCTCCCTCTCGTCCCCGCAAACCCTCACATACACTCCTCCTTGCTCCCTTTCAGATTCACGGCCTCGTTTTTCCATTAGTTGCTTGTGCATGGATATGTGTATATACATGTTTGTACACACAAACAGTCTGTGCCGTGTTGCTTGTGCGTCTTATGGCTAACCACATTGCACAACCACTCCCTGTGCTCCTCCCTGGTGAAGACAATCTCTCCTGCTCCCAGCACTCCTCAGTGCTCCCAGCACTCCTCAGTGCTCCCAGCACTCCTCAGTGCTCCTAGCACTCCTCAGTGCTCCCACCACTCCTCAGTGGCTTGCGGTTCCTTGTGAGGGCGGAGGCCTCCGTGGGCTTTCCCATCCGCTTTGGCATGTCTGTTGTTGTCGTCCTTGCTCAGCTCACATTTGGACAGTCACGCCAGGGAGAGTTCGCAGGTGCAGCTTTTGACTTCTCTAGGAGACACAGTCCGCAGGAAACTCCCTATCCTCTGACTCTTACAATCCTCCTGCCTCCTCTCCCTCAGTGCCCTGTAAGCTAAGGCTCTCGAGTGTTTTGTAGGTGTATCCACTTGAGCCTGGACTCTACAACTCCACATTTTCTTTGGCTTTACTCTTAAGATTTTAAAACATTTTGATTATATGTCCATGCCTATGTGCACATGGGTGCTGTGTGTGTACACATGGGTGTGTGTGTCTGTGTGTATGTTCATTTGGGTACTGTGTGTCTGTGTGTGTGTGCACATGGGTGTGTGTGTCTGTGTGTGTGTGCACATGATGCTGTGTGTCTGTGTGTGTGCACATGGTGCTGTGTGTGTGCACATGGTGCTGTGTGTCTGTGTGTGTGCACATGGTGCTGTGTGTCTGTGTGTGAGTGCACATGGGTGTGTGTGTATGTGTGTGTGCACATGGGTGTGTGTGTCTGTGTGTGAGCACATGGTGCTGTGTGTCTGTGTGTGTGTGCACATGGGTGTGTGTGTATGTGTGTCTACACATGGTGCTGTGTGCCTGTGTGTGTGTGCACATGGGTGTGTGTGTCTGTGTGTGTACACATGGTGCTGTGTGTCTGTGTGTGTGCACATGGTTGCTGTGTGTCTGTGTGTGAGCACATGGGTGCTGTGTGTGTGCACATGGGTGCTGTGTGTCTGTGTGTATGTGCACATGGGTGTGTGTGTATGTGTGTGTGCACATGGGTGTGTGTGTCTGTGTGTGAGCACATGGTGCTGTGTGTCTGTGTGTGTATGCACATGGGTGTGTGTGTATGTGCACATGGTGCTGTGTGTCTGTGTGTGCACATGGGTGTGTGTGTCTGTGTGTGTGTGCACATGGGTGTGTGTCTGTGTGTGTGCACATGGGTGTGTGTGTCTGTGTGTGAGCACATGGTGCTGTGTGTCTGTGTGTGTGTGTGCACATGGGTGTGTGTGTATGTGTGTATGTGCACATGGTGCTGTGTGTCTGTGTGTGTGCACATGGTGCTGTGTGTCTGTGTGTGTACACATGGGTGTGTGTGTCTCTGTGTGTGTGCACATGGTGCTGTGTGTCTGTGTGTGTATGTGCATTTGGATGCTGTGTGTCTGTGTGTGTACACATGGGTGTGTGTGTCTGTGTGTGTGCACATGGGTGTGTGTGTCTGTGTGTGTGTGCACATGGGTGTGTGTGTCTGTGTGTGTGTGCACATGGGTGCTGTGTGTCTGTGTCTGTGTGTACATGGTGCTGTGTGTCTGTGTGTGCACATGGTGCTGTGTGTCTGTGTGTGTGCACATGGGTGTGTGTGTCTGTGTGTGCACATGGGTGCTGTGTGTCTGTGTGTGTGCACATGGGTGCTGTGTGTCTGTGTGTGTGCACATGGGTGCTGTGTGTCTGTGTGTGTGCACATGGGTGTGTGTGTCTGTGTGTGTGCACATGGGTGCTGTGTGTCTGTGTGTGTGTGCACATGGGTGCTGTGTGTCTGTGTGTGTTTACACATGGATGTATGTGTCTGTGTGTATGTCCACATGGTGCTGTGTGTCTGTGTGTGTGTGCACATGGGTCCTGTGTGTGCACACATGGGTGTGTGTGTCTGTGTGTATGTGCATATGGGTGTTGTGTATCTGTGTGTGTGTGCACATGGGTGTAGTGTGTCTGTGTGTGTGTGCACATGGGTGCTGTGTGTCTGTGTGTGCACATGGTGCTGTGTGTCTGTGTGTGTATGTGCAATTGGGTGCTGTGTGTCTGTGTGTGTACACATGGGTGTGTGTGTCTGTGTGTGTGCACATGGGTGTATGTGTCTGTGTGTGTGTGCACATGGGTGCTGTGTGTCTGTGTGTGTGTGCACATGGGTGCTGTGTGTCTGTGTGTGTGCACATGGGTGTGTGTGTCTGTGTGTGTGCACATGGGTGTGTGTGTCTGTGTGTGTGTGCACGTGGGTGCTGTGTGTCTCTGTGTGTGTGTGCACATGGGTGCTGTGTGTCTGTGTGTGTATGTGCATTTAGGTGCTGTGTGTCTGTGTGTGTACACATGGGTGTGTGTGTCTGTGTGTGTGCATATGTGTGTGTGTCTGTGTGTGTGCACATGGGTGTGTGTCTGTGTGTATGTGCACATGGGTGTGTGTGTCTGTGTGTGTGCACATGGTGCTGTGTGTCTGTGTGTGTGCACATGGTGCTGTGTGTCTGTGTGTGTGTGCACATGGTGCTGTGTGTCTGTGTGTGTGTGCACATGGGTGTGTGTGTCTGTGTGTGCACATGGGTGTTGTGTGTCTGTGTGTGTGCACATGGGTGCTGTGTGTCTGTGTGTGTGCACATGGGTGCTGTGTGTCTGTGTGTGTACACATGGGTGTGTGTGTCTGTGTGTATGTGCACATGGTGCTGTGTGTCTGTGTGTGTGCACATGGTGCTGTGTGTCTGTGTGTATATGTGCACATGGTGCTGTGTGTCTGTGTGTGTACACATGGGTGTGTGTGTCTGTGTGTGTGCACATGGGTGTGTGTGTCTGTGTGTGTACACATGGGTGTGTGTCTGTGTGTGTGCACATGGGTGTGTGTGTCTGTGTGTGTACACATGGTGCTGTGTGTCTGTGTGTGTGCACATGGGTGCTGTGTGTCTGTGTGTGTGCACATGGGCGTGTGTGTATGTGTGTGTACACATGGGTGTGTGTCTGTGTGTGCACATGGGTGTGTGTGTCTGTGTGTGTGCACATGGGTGTGTGTCTGTGTGTGTGTACACATGGGTGTGTGTGTATGTGTGTATGTGCACATGGTGCTGTGTGTCTGTGTGTGTGTGCACATGGGTGCTGTGTGTCTGTGTGTATGTTCATTTGGGTACTGTGTGTCTGTGTGTGTGTGCACATGGGTGTGTGTGTCTGTGTGTGTGTGCACATGATGCTGTGTGTCTGTGTGTGTGCACATGGTGCTGTGTGTGTGCACATGGTGCTGTGTGTCTGTGTGTGTGCACATGGTGCTGTGTGTCTGTGTGTGAGTGCACATGGGTGTGTGTGTATGTGTGTGTGCACATGGGTGTGTGTGTCTGTGTGTGAGCACATGGTGCTGTGTGTCTGTGTGTGTGCACATGGGTGTGTGTGTATGTGTGTGTACACATGGTCCTGTGTGCCTGTGTGTGTGTGCACATGGGTGTGTGTGTCTGTGTGTGTGTGCACATGGGTGTGTGTGTCTGTGTGTGTGTGCACATGGGTGTGTGTGTCTGTGTCTGTGTGTACATGGTGCTGTGTGTGTGAACATGGGTGCTGTGTGTCTGTGTGTGTGTGCACATGGGTGCTGTGTGTCTGTGTGTATGTGCACATGGGTGTGTGTGTATGTGTGTGTGCACATGGGTGTGTGTGTCTGTGTGTGAGCACATGGTGCTGTGTGTCTGTGTGTGTATGCACATGGGTGTGTGTGTATGTGCACATGGTGCTGTGTGTCT